TTGCAGTATTTTCTTGTGAATCAATCCAGAATGATTCAACCCAGGCTAAATGAAAAACAGATTACTCTATACTGTGAGTAATTGGATAGATGAAGATTATTACTAAGGGGTTTTTTAATGTTTACAGAGGGTTGTGACCACAGAGCGGCCGCAGTAATCCCTCATCTCCACCCCTGCCCTCCTTCAGCCTCCTCTCCTTTCACTCACACAGCCAAGCTGTCCAACTCCCTCCATTTAGCTCATTGTGTTTCGCTGGGTTGACTTATTGAGAGCTTGGTGCAGTTGATAAGCCTTAATCTCTTATTCTCTCTCTCTGTGTCTCTTATTCTAAATCCTATTAATTCAACCCTAACCCTAACCTCCTACTCATAAAAGAAGTACATACAGTCCACCCACACTTTGACATGACACAAGATGACCTACTGATGCTAATGGCTGAGAAGATACGTTTTGAAGGAGCTTAGGCACACTGCAAACATGCTCCTTTTAGTTTGAGATGTTAGCATTTGTTTTCAATTCACTTGTACAGTAGCAAAGACCCAAATGTAATTCTGAAGGGTGTGTTTTAAGCCAGGAATTTTTTTGAGGTGGACTTATTTTTTGCATAAGGTTGAGAATAAAGTAGGCAAACTTTCAGTATGTGTGCCAGGCATAAGGAAATGTAAGAATAAAGTTGAAATAAAATGTTAAGAATACAATTGTTGTATCAGGAATACATTTTACGATTAAAGTTGTACTTACTACTGAGATTAAATCACTATCATAAGCCCATACTGAACGTTTATTTTTATTTTTGACAACTTTATTTTGGATCTTTAAGCTTTATTCAGGCTGTAGACTCTCCCCTACTGTAGAAATGAAACCTGGGAGGGGTTAACTTTGTTTACTACAGAGGACAGTGGCTGCCAGTAACCCTCACAGCCTTATTGGTCAGTAACCGAGCTCCTGATGGTCATTAAGTCCCTCCCAGTATTGTATTTGTCTCATGAGCATGACTTCTTGACTCATACAGTGTGACGGGAAACCAGATCATGGTTACACAACTGTGTGTGTCTGTGTGTCCTCCTGTATTATAATATAGGTTTCTTTAAATGCTTTCCCTTTGTCTCCCTTTTGCCTCCCCCCTTGCCTCCCCCGTCTCTGGCCCCCCACGCCCTTCCTCCATTTAAAGAGAAAGTTCTGTTTTCACAAGTTGTTTTTCTCTGCACCCACCCACCCTCCTCCTCCCTCTCTGCCTCTCCTGCTGAAAATGACTCTCAGTCTATTTTTACCCTCTGGTCCTCTCCACCCATTTTCCCTCTGTTTCTAACCACCTCTATACTCTCCTGTTTTCAATTATTTTCTCCCTCTATACCTCTGGCCCTGTGAGTGTTGCATCAGAATATTTGCTGCAACAATTCTGTCTCAAAGAGGCACATTTGCATGATGGAGGGAAGGAAAAAATGTTTGAGGATTAAAAACAGCTTTTTATGGTGGAAAAATATTACATCACTATCCTCTCTACTGTTAGCTGCTCTCCCTAAAACCAAAGTAGCATTGCCAGGAAAAATATTTATTATCCCTCTCATTAGTGTATTTTGCTGATTCGGTCTGGACGTGGATATGCATTGTCATCTTGAACCCAGAGCCCTCTATAACACCAACCCCCTGTGCAGATTGCATAAAAGACTCAAAGGCGGCGTGGAAAGTAAACAGTAGCTCACTAGCGCCACCCCGCATAGGATGGTATGTATGGAAATAAAGCTATATAACCGAGCTATTGCGAGTAGGAGGGATCGTGTCTTACTTCTGTTAAGCCATTGGTTAGCCTACATCTGAGTGTCGGCTTCTGATTGGTTGTTTCAATCATCAATCAAGGTTTACTACGACTCCTGCACCAATGACATTAGCGTGGGGTGGGCTTACTGAAAGAAACATACAAATACACATGTTTTGATTAATGACTTGAACTCCAACTCAGGTTTTCAAATAGATACAAAACACGATATTTATTTTATCTATCTGTATTTTATATTTAGGATCAGCTCAGTTTGTGTGATAAGAACATAATTTGAGTGTAAAGCCGGGTCACATTGCATATGACTGGCATTCCAGTGCACACGCCGACCAATCAGGGTTGACGGCGGGCAGATGACAGCTGGCCGCAATAGCCAATAGGAGAGTTGGATTTGCTGCGGAAGGCGGGATAAGGCTGGGCGAGGTTGACAGGACGAGAAGGGGAGGGGGCGAGATGCAGGGGGGGGCAAACAGCCTAGTTTACAACAAGAGGGAAGAGGGAGGGAAAGAGAAAGAAAGGGCCAAGGCTTGTGAGAGAGAGAGACGAGACACAAATAAAGGAGTAAGTAAAGTCAGGCTGGGATGCTGTACGGGGACTTTTCTGGAACAAAACAACACGCGTTACACCGAAATTAACCGAAGTGGAGCCGATGTCGTCCGCACGAAGTGGCTAGCTAACCTGCTGCAGACGGACGGATCTCACCGACGGCTTTAACGTTGCTGTAGCGCTTCTTTTAAAGCCCCCCCATCGGGTTCAGGTCCTGTATTTTGGTCATATTGAACCAAGCACTCGTTTGCTGCCTTGAGGAGGAGAAAAAACTGCGATTCATCCCATCTTTTTCTCAGTTCGCAGTCTGGAGCCAGGAGTCCTCACCGTGGTCGCTTTATAATCGCTGTGTTGTAGACTAATCAGTTGCTAGCTAACGTCAGGTCTGTGGTCAGATCGGCCAGGTAGGATAGGAGCTAGTAGACTTATATACTGTACAGAAGAGCTTGTAGTAGAGAACAGTGTTTGTTAGCTCTTTTGCTAACCAATCAGATAGATAGTGGGAGCACTGGGTGATGGATGAATGCACCAGATTTACTGTCAACGACATCTGCTAATGCCTAGTAAACACGAGTGAACCCAAGTTTGGTGGTTATCCTTTTTACTAAGTGATTTCATATCTTGGCAGGTGTTTTAACCAATCTGCCAGGTTTAGACAGGTGCATGGAAGCAGATGTTGGTAAAAATAATTTGATCTAATGCAACTTCTGAAAACGGTCCTTGCTTGATTTTCTTTTCTCTTTTAGCAGGCTCTACGTGTGAATACGCTTTAGTAGTTAAGACATGAGAACAATTTCGTTTATTTTGCCTCTGTCTGTGCGGCGGGTGCACGACCAGGGGCGTTCCCGAGAGGTCGGTCCCGTTTGGAGCGGTGCTCTCGAGGCTCCGGTTGTTGCAAGAGGCAGATAAACTGGCTTCTCTGTTGCTTTATTACATGAATCAGCAAGTATTAAAGTCGATGTGTGGGTAAGCAGTGCACACTTGGACATTAAAGCAGTTTCCTCTGTCGCACTTCCCAGTTAGACGAATCACATTAGTTTTGATCGCCCCAATTTGCTTGTTGCAGTGTTTCTAAGCCTGATCGATACAGAGCCCTCTTACAGCAGGTAGTGCTTCTTAAACAGCTGCCGAGCCCACCTGTCTGCAGCTGTATGGTGGTGCAGAGTGAGCTTTGACATGGCCCAATAACACTGCGTAGTTCCCGGGCGGATGTTTTAATCCAAGCCGTGGATGGGCTGCAGGCCTTGTTAACCCCTTCATGACCGAGCTGCTGGAGTAATGTAAACAAACAGAGAGAGGGCATCGGGGGTAATTAGACCAAAGTGAGGAGAGAGAGCTAGGCTTCGATCATAATCATCGTTTTAAATTGGTCGTCAATACTCTGTTGCATTCTGACTTATTTAACTTACGTTTTGTATTATATTGAATTCGTTTATAGTACATTCTGTACACTGATGTTTGATTCATGTGCAGTTTTATATGGCGGCATTCTGCGATACGGATTGATGGACTCTTGTTGACAGACGTATTTAATGTTTACTGGCATTGTAACTAAAAAGGATTCTTCTTCATGCCACATCCTGAAATCCCCTTGATGCAGTTGTTATTGTGAATGATGAACGCAACCTCTTGGGATACAGACACCATTGAGCACTGGTCATCTGTGAACTCTGCAATATCTGCTCGAGATTTTGGATTAAAGATGTCTCTTAACCCTGGATTTATGTGTGTAGAAAGGAACTTTAAAGGGACACACTTTCTTTTTTGATTATTCTTTTTGGGAGAAACATCAAGGATTTCATTCAATCATGTTCTCATCAGAGAATCCACAGTATCTCCGCCAAGGATTAAGCATGTTTGGTTAGTCCTTATCACTTACCTTACTGTTTATATATTTAAAAATAATCCTTTTTGTCAGATCTATTCCATACAGCAACATTATATTTTTGTGCACTTGAGGCATAATGCAACAAAAATGTTAAATTATTATTAAACAAGCTATTTTTGTAGGTTTATATGATACAGATACTTTAGTTCATGGAAAAGCATCCTCATCAACTTGTGTTTTTCAATAATTAAGATAATGATGATGTGATTTATACAGCTCTTACTCATTTATGGGGGTTCAGAGTGTACTAGCTTCTGTTCTCCATCCAGCCTGTTATTGAGAACAGACAGTCCTTTTGTACATCTGCTGTTGTTGGAGTTATTTAACCACTCAAGTGGCTGTAGGTGGGCTACTGTGGCAGTGCTGTTATTCTGGGTTGCTCTCATTTATGATATTGTTATATTCTGCCAGGAAATGAATAGCTTTCACCTAATGTCTCAGATGCCCATTATTAGAGTGCTAACATGAAAGCTACTGTGAAAACAGTGACCCAGAATTTAGTAATTTATGTGTGGTTATATGACTCTAAAATGATAACAAAAACATGAATGCTAGCGTCACAAACATATTGGAAGAAATTATTAGAGTTTGTGATGGGAGTAAGATTGCACCTCTTGTCTTGGTGTTGCACTGAGGATCTTGATTTTCCAAATAAGGACATATATTATCTTTAAAATCTGAATGTAACACAACCTTGTTGTCTTGAATGTGATTTCTGAGCAGCTTTTTATAAACGTCTGGACATCCTGTGGTGTTATCTGAAATAAACCATGCTGTTATCCTCCGCAGTCTGGACCAACGTAGAGCCCCGGTCAGTTCCAGTCTTCCCCTGGCATTCATTGGTCCCCTTCCTGGCACCCACCCAATCAGATGCTTCTTCTCTGCCAGGAGAGGGCCATCACCCTGTCAACCACCCCCAAGCAGCCAGTCTGAAGACAGGTACTGTATTAATTTATGTTGGATGCAATGTAACCTGTATTATCAGTTACTTGGATACTGTTTTAAGTTCCATATATTGGTTTCTATGCCCCGGACAAAAATGCATCTCTTTGTTGTTTTTCCTCAGACTGTCAGGGGGTGGCAGCACAGTCACAAGAGCCTGCAGAGGCACCTCCCATGGTAGAGAGAGGTCCTCCATCCCGGCCTACCCCCTCTTCTGATGAGCCGCCTCCAGAGAAGGAGAAAGGCGATGCGGAGAGGGAGAGGCCAGACAGCGAAACAGAGAGTGACGTGGATGACCCGTAAGAGCACTTTTTGCGTTATGTAGTGATTCAATGTGCAAAGCTGTGAGATTACATAAACACTTAAAGATACACCCTGCACCTGCAACCTTGCCAGTGTCTTTTTATAAAAAGTGGTTATGTATTTGTCCCAGTCAGCCCTCACAGTAATGTTCTCTTTGTGGTACCCACACATACAATATGGGAGTGTGAAATGTTCTGTATCTTTGCGCTAATTTGGGCAGAAGAGCTCAATGCCAGAACAAAGCAGATGGGAACAAAAGCATTCCATCTCTGGGCTTTATCACTATATGAAAGGCAGTGGCCAGGCCGTCAGCCATTGAAATGGATGAGCTATCTGCTGAATCTGCTGATGTATCTCATGGGAGATGAACTACTTGTGCTCTGTGTCTGCATCTGAGAGACTTGAAGCTCGGGGATAAATAATACCAGAGACAAAAAAACCTCTTACAGTTTCAAAGCGAAAGCAGATCTGCATGTGCGTTTTGTCCTCAAGGATACAATCTAATATAGATTACACTTTGTTTCAGCTTTCTCCCAGGCGTTGTACCAGAGCCTCCCCTCGCTATATCACCCGTGAAGAGACGCACTCAGTCCCTCAGTGCGCTGCCCAAAGATGGAGATAAGAGCAGCCCTGGAAAGGTTGATCTTTATATTGCTCCTATCATCATCATCATAATGATCGGAATTCTCAATGTTCCCTTTACTAACACATGTAATATCTTTCTGTCTTTCAGAGGGAGAAGGACCACATCCGGCGACCAATGAATGCATTTATGATTTTCAGTAAGCGCCATCGAGCATTGGTGCACCAGCGGCACCCGAACCAGGACAACAGGACAGTCAGCAAGATCCTTGGGGAGTGGTGGTATGCCCTGGGACCCAAAGAGAAACAAAAGTATCATGATTTAGCTTTCCAGGTACACACATGCAATGACCAACCAATGTATCAACATTAGTGGCAATAGACAACTTTTCTTTCCCAGCTTTTTCATGTGATATATTTAAAGACAACTGATATACTTTCCATTTTCCTCAGCCTAGAAAAAACATATTATTGTGATTATTTCCTTCTCCTGCTGAGAGTAATTGCAGTCCACAGCTCTTCTGCGGACAGCAAGGGGTCTTTCACTTTCCTCTTGCACTACAACCGACACAACCTCAAAGCTAGGATGTCGTCATCAGTCAAATTAGCATATGATGCTAATGGTTGTGACTTTTGGAGCTATTGCTAGCTACTTTCTTTGGAAAAAAGTCGGCAACACTGCTTTTGATATACTGCATTTATTTTCCCTTAGCTTTAAATTAAGCATTTCCGGCGATGACCGTACCCCCGTGGCAGACAACTGCATTCTGAAAGCAAGGCTCTGGAAACCTAAATCTTAACATCAATGGTGTCACTATTCTATACCCGTTACATTGTGAAAACAATATTTACAGTTCATGCATTAAAAGTATCTATTGCCTCTTTAATCCTTTTGTGCTAACCTATAGTACACATACTACATTTTTGTCTTCTTTTTCACTTGCTCATTTTCCCTTCTTCTGTTCCCAGGTGAAAGAGGCCCACTTTAAGGCCCACCCGGACTGGAAGTGGTGGCAACAAAGACAGGAAGAAGTCCAGCTCTGATGGCCGTGGGGTCCCGGGGGGGGAAAGACATCAGAGAGAGGAGCATGTCTGAGTCTACAGGTTGGTTTCACCTAAGGCTGTGCAATTAATCGTATTTTAATCTCGATTACGATTTTAGCTTGCAACGATTACGAAAACAACCGTAATCGAAATAAAACGATAATTATTTTTATTTAAAAAAAAAAAAAAAAAAATTATTGATTTTTTTTTTCTTTTTTTCAGTTGAATTATACTTAAGTAAATGGATAATCGTTTTAATAATCGTGATATCAATTATTGACCAAAAATAATCGTGATCAGCCCTAGTTTCACCCAGCTCTAATGATATCACATAAAGATGTATATTTTACAACATGTTTTATTTACAGTATCCTTTCCAGTACTTTAACAGTGCTCTTTTTTGCTCCCTGACAGAGCCCCATTCTGTGGAGATGAAGGGGGTTGGGCCTAGTCTGGTGGGCGTGTGTGAAAGAAGCGCAGCAGAAGGTCATGTGGGCCAGCTCACCCGACCCCGGGCCTTCTCTCAAAGCGCCGTGCACAGCCTGGAGCGCAGTGACAGGGGGAACACACAGGCTCTGGCAGAACTGGCACAGGTATGGAGGAGCAAATGTTGATTTCGTTTTTTTTAACCTTGAATATTGTGAACATAGAATCAAGATCATTATCACTGTTGGATACAGCAACAGTTCTGCTGATTTTGTAAACATGACTTGATGAAAGTTAGTTTGTTTTACAGGAGAGTCACTGCAACAGAAATACTTTTCTCTGACAGATTTTCTTTAACCCTTAGATGCATAAGTGGGTCTTTTTTGACCCGGTGAGGTGGTTTTCTTGAAGTATCTTTGTAATTACATTTTTTTTATCATTTCATATTCCAGCTATTCCTCAAAAAACATGTTTTGGATATCATGCCATTCAAATTTTAAATTAAGTTTTTGTATTTCTACCCCAAGCTTCCATAAGTGGGTCAAAAATGGCCCGCATGCATTTTCTATGGGATCCTATGGGAACCTTTGATTCTTATCACCTGTTGCTGTCAGGAATACATTCACTGTGGACCACACAGACTACATCACAAGTGACACCTCTCAGGAAGATTATTTTACACAGCCAGATCTGATACCTGTCAGTATAATAATAATAATAATAATAATAATACATTATATTTTTATAGGGCTTTTCAAGGACTCAAAATCGCTTTACAATATAAGGGAAGGTTAGGGTGGGGGGTATAGGACTATCAAACTTGATCAACCGGCATGGATTGATGGGGGGTGGGCTATGAGTAGACAAGAGGAGAAGAGATGAGTTTTGAAAAGGGACTGGAATACTGTGAGGGTCTCAGAATAGCGGAGATCTTGCATCAATATGTTCAAACGTTTTTTTTCAAAATGTAAAAAATCTCTAAAATTATAAATAGTGAAAAATTAAATATAAAATATTTCTAGTGTGAACCAAAATATAATATTAAATATTATAAAGTGATTTTTCTTAACCAAAATGACAAAAATTGTATAAAACACATATTATTCTAATACGTGTCCTTTTTGACCCCCTTATGGAAGAGAGTAGGGTCCAGTCACTCGTGCATCTAAGGGTTAATAGCATGTCAATTTTGACAGTAGAATATAAGGCATGTTTCTATAATGAGAGGTCATGTCATACTTCAGATAAAATAAAGCAAACTGTTTCAAAAGCATCTCTGCTACATGGTTCCTTACTTTTTTTCAGATGTGTGGGGATGGTGGCAGTCAGTATCCGAGTCATGCCCCGTCCCTGTCTCGGTCCCAGCGGGGAGTCAGCGAGGATATGACCAGTGATGAGGAGCGCATGGTAATCTGTGAGGAAGAGGGAGATGACGATGTCATTGGTGAGAATTAAGACCATCTCTACACTGAAAACGATTGTTGGATTACCTTTGTTAAAGTGTTAGTACACTGCTTCTGTGTCATTAATGTACTTTATACATTCCCAGCATCTGCATATTGAACTCATCATTGTTGGCTGTATGTTTCCTTTTGAATTAAATGCACAGAATGTGGCTGAATTGTGTCCAGTCTTTTTTTACCACTGCCTTGTTTTGATGTTAAAGATCAGATAGGATTGATAGTAGACTCTAAATACACGCTGAAGCGATTGGATTATGAACTGCAAGGATTATCAAGTGTAGCTGTAGAGTATTTTTTCTTCTCCACAGAGGACCCTTATCCTAGCAGCTCCATAGACCTCAAGTGTAAGGAGCGGGTGACTGACAGCGATAGTGAGAACGGTTCTGGAGATGAAAGTGATCGCAAGGTAACCAGCTTGAACAATATATTTTTATCTATCTATCTGTCTATCTGTCTATCTATCTATCTATCTATCTCTCTATCTATTTCTCTATCTATCTATCTATCTATCGTCAGTCATTCAAAAGTACTTGCCTTCATTTAATCTAAAAATAATGTCTTTCTTTACAGAGGGTTTTCGCTCCAGTCATTTGCTCCTCGTCTTCCTCGCATCATACCCCGCATGGCAGGAGTGTCTCACTGTCCTCTTACCCCAGCAGCAAGCGTTATGAGGAGGGGCGATCAGGAGGGGGAGGGTTTTCAGATCACAGGAGGAAGGACAGAGGAGGAGGAGGAGAGGGTAAGGACACATTTGGGGGAGAAGGAGGAGGAGGAGGAGGAGGAGTGCAAGCCACATCTCTCTCCCTCACTTCTGGCCAATCAGTCATCACCACTTCTTCAGCTGGAGGGCATCATCCCTCCACGGTAGGATCACTGAGCGGGACCTTTCTCCCGGGCATGGGCGCTGTGAGGGTGGCGTCCACGGTGGTGACCAATGTGATGCGTCCTGTCATCAGCACACCGCTGCCCATCGCCAGCAAATCCAGAGACGGAGGCACATCGTCCAGCCCTCATCCGCCAGAGAGGAAGTCCCTGACTCCCCAACAGCAGCCGCACTTTCTGATTGGATCAGGAGGCGGTTTGCCAGCCACAGGGGGTGGGTACTACTCTTCATCATCACCTCATCCTTTAGGTGCAGGCCATGGTGGTGTCGTGACTAATTTGGTGTTAGGAGGGGCTCTGTCTGCTCAGCCTGCTGTACAGCTCCTCACCCCCTCCCACCACCAGCAGCAAGCCTTCCCCTCCTCCGCTGTGTCTCATAGCCAAACCAACGGGCCCCTGCCTCTCTCCCTGCTTCATCCCCAGTTCCTTCCCGCCTCTTCCCTAGCCTCACACGGGGGTAAGGCCATCACACAAGTCCAGTACATCCTGCCCACCCTACCTGCCAACACCCACCCCAAGAGTCCTCCTCAGCATCTCAGCCAGCCAACCAGTATCTTCAACCTGCCCACAGCTCCACCCACACACATGTCTCTGGCCAATGGGAAGCAGCAGGGGTCCGGATACACGTCCAGCTCTGCAGTGGGAGTGGTCAGCCCGGGGTCTAGAGGTGAGAGTTTTAGTAGAGGCTTGTTTGATCTACCTTAATGGACTAAAACAGAACAGTCTATTTCAAACACACAGATCATCTTAAAAAAGTTATATTAAACCTTTTGATTCATATTGAGAGAAATTATGCAAAAGGTATTAATTGTTAATCACACTAAAATATCAGTCAAAAATAATTGTGACAAGTTATTTTTTCAGAATCAGGCAGCTGAACACTCTGAACAACTAATCGCTCGTGCATAGCCTTTTTATACTGCTCCTAATCAAATTCTATTCTCATCTAAACTCCTCCCAGTTATGAAGTATGTTTTTCTCGGTTTCCAAGCAAAGCGAGAATCCTAAGAATCCTTGTGGTACTGTCAGCGTTTCCGCCAGGGGGGCGTCTTGCCGTCATTTGACGCCCTTATTCAGCTCAGAACGCCCTGAACTCGAGCCGAGGGCGTCCAAAAAAAAAATAATTCGAGAGAAGATCGAGTTTTTATCGCTTGAAATGACGTAAAGGAAAAAGGACAAGGACATCCCTCCCTGTTGGAGGGGCAAAGGAGTCTGGTTTGATTATTTTCGCCGCCAGCAAAGCGTGTTCCTGTGACGGAAAGTGTACTGCCGGCGAGCCTTGACGGGGGGGGGGTGCTAGTGGAGCACGCGCGTGAACTGCGAGCGCCGGAGCCTCGCAGCGGCGAAACTGAGGCTCCGTGGTAAACTGTGGTAACATGAAGAGCAGTTTAGGAGCCGAAAGACTCTTCTTAGTGAGCCGAGCCAAATGATTCGGCTCACTAAAAAGAGCCGGAATTCCCATCACTAATACGTAAAGAGATAGTATCTATAAGGGACGGCTCAATTCAAAATTCAAGTCACGTGACACGACGTGAAGTCACTCAGCCCTGCTCTGGCGGAAACACTGGGTACTGTTACATTTTCTTTGTTGGCTTTAGAAAACGTGCTCCATCTGAACGCGTGTCTCACATTGAGCACAGATAAGCCTTTTAGAAAGTAGAGTGCATTTGGCTATAATTCCGCGGTCACTACACATTAAAATCACTCATTCTTCCTTTCTTCTCTTTCTCTTGCTTCAGTGCAAACACAATCTCCAGTGCTCCAGGGCAAAATGTTTGTTCCCATGGCAACAGTACGGACAGCGCCAGCCTCTGCCCAGCAGTTTCCCATCGTGGCTCCACCCCTTCCTGTCCAGAACGGCGCTCAGACGGGAAGCAAGGTCAGTGAGACAGCTTCACTGCAGACACTGATATGAGAATCAAATTGTATCAAAGTAGGACCACTTGCATTGTAAATCTATAAATGTGTATTTGTTATTTTCTTTATGACTTCTCCTTTCCATGCCAGATCATCCAGATAGCTCCCATGCCAGTGGTCCAGTCCCAGTTGCCTCAGGGCGGAGCGGTCCATCCTGCCAGCCCCTTCTCTGTCTCAGTGGGCACGGCTGCTCCAGGATCAGCCCCCTCCCAGACTTTACTCCTGCCACCAGCTCCTACCAGGTAGAAAACAACACACAAACTACATAATAAAGCTTTATTTATAGAGCACTTTTCATACAACGCATGCAGCTCAAAGCGCTTTACAAAATGACACATCACAAGTTCAAAAGAAATTCCCCTCAGATTATTTGTTAAGAACTTTTTAAAAGGTACATGCAGCAAAATATAACATTTGATCAGGTTAACAGACACAAGGAGGTAAAATGTATGATAATAAAATAAAATAAATAATGGTTTCTCTCTGACAGTCGATGCAACAATATAAAATATACAGGGTTCTTACGGTCATTAAAAACCTGGAAAAGTCATGGAAATTCTAAATGCTAATTCCAGGCCCTGGCAATATTTTTCCCAAAGTTTTGGAAAAGTCATGGAAATGTAACTAAAGTTGCATCAAATATAATTTATATTTTATCTAATCGCCAAAATAGTAATACTATAATGATAATAAATACTGTATCGTATAGTAATGAAACGTAAAATGGCATTTAACTCACGAGGTATTTTGCTGGTGAGAGATGTTGGTTGCTTTAGCGTGTAGAAGCTAGTAAGCCTATTTGATTTGTTTTAGATAGGCACAACATGTTTCATATGCAGACCTTATTTTCCTGTTCCATGTTCAAATAAACTATTTTCAGTGGTACGCTGAGAAAGAGTAATTTTTTTGGTCATGGAAAATGAGGTAAAGGTCATGGAAAATCATTGGTGAAAAAGTGTATGAACCCTGGGTATAACAAATTGAATATGGATCCTATTCTTTTTGAACTTACGACACCAACCCTTTTGTGCTTTTTGTTCTGCATTCGCCACTGGCTTGATAACATCTAGCAAGTTATATACACAATTTGTAGCAGGACTATTCTGTCAATCAATCATTTCAAATAACCGTGACCTCATAGTTTGTTCTGAGGTGGTAAACATCACTTTTTTCGCACCAGAATAAACGTAACAAAGAATGTAAATTGAGTTTTCAGCCCCAACAGTTATTCTAAATTGACTGAAATGCTTTTCTGAAATTGCCTGCCAACCCCTTTTTATTTTCATGAGACTAAACCCACACACCTGCCACTGAAAGAAGACTTCAACAAAAGGTTACTTCAGAAAGTCACCATGTAAATATATTATCATTGAAGCATGCTGCTTTCTGAAAAACACAATAAGTGTTGATTAAACGCGTGACTAGTGAAGCCTTCTTGAGAAAACGGTTTAATTAGTATTAAACGTCGGCCAAATTAGGATTTTTCATGCACATAAAGATTCAATGCTGTTGATGAGCCAATTTAAGGGTACGATGTTCTCCTAGTTATTTGATCTAAAAATATTTGTACTGCAGGGAAGTTATTTTTATCTCTCAAAGCATTTATCTGATAGCCCTCCAGTTTGCCCTAAATGTTTAGCTTCCTTCATTCCAGCTGCTTAAAAGATGAAAATCTAAAAAAAGCTTTAACTACAAATTAAGCAGCTTGAACAAAATAAGAAATTGGTTGAGCTATATTTGATCTATTTCCTGCTGTGATCGATGTCATTCTGTCTGTTGTAGCGCTGAAACGTCCTCTCTAATGCTGCGTTTCCATTACAGTTTAGTAGCTGGGGCAGTAACTATAGTAACGCAGTGTAGGCGGAGCCGTGACGTCATCTTCAATGCGAACCACAAAACCAACATCAGCCGTTAGCTGTTAGCACACAGAGCTCACAGCTCCTCATATCTGTTCAGAAACTAGACAAAAGTTAAACAAGTACAAACCACAGACTGCCTGTGTCATGGTGAATACAGTCGCTGCTTTATTTATGTCTGTATAGGCCGTTGTTGTGAGTGTGGACGGTCGGAGCATACACTGCGTTAGCTTAGCCGATCTCCATTCAGAAAACACGCATTTTAAAAGGTTTTTCGCCTGCCGTCTGTCTGCAGACTTGACAAAGCATTAATTCATGGTTTTTACTAACCGGTATCAGTATGTTGTTACTTCGGCATCATTTTGAAACGTGTATTACAATTAAATCACGGTCAAATATGTTCATTTTGTTGTAGTTGTAGCCCCCTTGCCAGCGATTCTCTCACTAGTTTAGCATACTCAGCCCGGTTGTTGGCCCGGAAAGAACCTGGATTTTGGAGAGCCAGAAAAACTGTGAAAAAGTACCCGTTAGCCGGAACTACCCCTAGTGGAAACGCAAAAAACGGGCCGGGTTTAAACCGTGCTACGCGCTGCAGTGGAAATGCGCCATAACACTGGACTTGTAACGTCCTATGATGGAGATCTATGTTGGAAAATCCAAAAGCTATTTCTTTGACAGATGGATGATGATCAGATGTCTGAAAGGGGCTATAAACTCATTATGTGCCAGTAAAGCTCTGACTAAACAGGCGCCCGTTTATGAACATATGCCAGCCTCAATCATCCATCATGATCTCAGTGAGCCAAATATTTGTTACTGTATGATATAAATCCGGCTGATGCCTTCTATCAAATGATTCACAAAGCGCTTCAGAAGAAAAATGGATAAGGCGTGCTGTGAGAAGATCCTGTGTACATGCTCCATGACAAATATTTATAAAGAGGAGTTCCAACACATGAGCAAACATTTGAGAGGATGCAGCAGCTTGGATCACCGTTATTGGTTTAGTGTTGTGCTTTCTGTTGAAGCAGCATTTATTTTTCAGAAGACGCCACTCATGGAGGAATTAAATGGGGGACAGCAGGCCGCTCATTAAGGATGCACAACTTTTTTTTTGCCAATAGTGGGAAATGCATATCATTATGTATATTGGGATAATCACATTCTTGGTGATAAATTGTCAACTGTTAATACAAAGCTAAATGACACAAAAAATAGGTCAATATTTCATTTTCTTTGTAAAAAATGCTGCTAAAAGTACTGTGTGTATGGATGGAACGTCTTTACATAAAATACGGCAGCAGTGTTGCATAACTGAGTCATGTTGCAGGCTGCTTGCTTTAGGGGAGGGTAGAACATACAGTGTATTGTTTTTCAGATTGCAATGTTGAGCAAAGGCCATCGATCCAAATGTATTATTTAAAGATACTGGTGTTGGTATCTGCACAAACTCAAATGTACCATCATCAATAACAAGCTCTATGTAAACGCAGATATTACTTATAATCTGAAAGGTGGGGTAGGTAATTCACCTCAGAAACACTTTTTGTTATATTCCATGGAATGCTCTTAACATCCCGATAGCAATGAATACATTAAATGCTTTGACAATAAATGCATTAAAAAAAAGTCATCTGTGGAAGCCGTGGCGCTGTAAAAAGCACGACCAATCATCTTGAGCCGGCCCGGCTAAAATAACTGGATGGCCTACCTGCCTGTCAGCCTTCCATCTGTGCACAAACTTATCTCGTGCCCTCATTGGTCATGTGCACGTCCGTGTGTGTTGGAGGAGGGGCTCTGTAAGGAAGTCTGAAGGAAGGGGCAGATTTTTTTTGGCTGCGTACTTTCAAATTCTAGCGCACTCGAGCTGGTTTCTCCATTCTTACCTACCCTACTTTTAATTTCAATTCCCCAAACAGGTTTAATTTTCAAAGATAAATTAATTTTTTTTGTTGTTGATGCATTAAAGTAACTCCTGTTATGATCTGGTACTTTTAGATTGATAATACATTACATGTTACTTGTTAGACACTTTTATCCAAAGCGACTTACATACTCAATACTGTGGACAATCCCCACAGGAGCAATTTGGGGTGAAGTGTCTCAGGGACACAACGACATGCTGACTGCAGTGGGGTTTGAACCTGTGACCATCTGATCCCCTGATAATAATGATATATAAGTTCAGTTGTATTGTTTCTAAAGGCAGAAGATTTCCTAAAGCACAGCGGACAGACAATGGGAGAAACAAAAACTCCATGAGGGGTGCATCTGCAGCCGAGCAGCTCTATTCTGGATGTGTTAGTCATGCTGCTGGTGGCTCATTTTGCCTCTGCCTGCCACCCCCACACTACCTCTCAGCTTCTAACACACACACACACACACACACACACACACACACACACACACACACACACACACACACACACACGTCATCCAGGGCTGCACGCTGTGATGTACACTCGCCCCCTGACCCTCACTGCAGTTCTTGATTCCTGCTCATTACTAACACCTTCTGTCACCTTTCTTGACATTTTCTATTACAAAAATGTCATCCTTTCCTCCTTTTCTCCTCCTCCCTCTATTCAACTGTCCTCTTATTATCCTCTTTATTTTCTCTGTGCCTCCTCACTCAGGATCACTTATGTCCAGTCCACTCCAGGGGTCTCATCCACTCTGGTCTCCACGACAACAGGCTCCTCCATCACCCATCAAGCGCTGCCGGTGTCTGGATCTGCCTATGTGCCATCGCCCCTGGCAACACTGGGGTTTCACCGCCATCGCACCTCCTGGACAGACCCTGGTGCAGCCGCTGATCTCAGGTCAGTGCTGTGCTGAGCTCCTGCTTCACATCTTTAGACGCTAACTCTGTTTGTGTCATGTATACATTAAGTGATGTGAAACTCAGCAGGAGTTTGAATGTTGCTTCTTCTGTGACAAACCCAGCCAAAGTTAACCATTGTAGCTTCTATTAAAACTTGTTCTTGTTATGAATCTACTATTGATGAATAGATAGATGGATATTAGATACTATATTGACTTACTTACAGAGGCTTCTTCAATAAATACAATTAATTTGACCGTACTTTTATACACGTGTAAGGCTCTAAAACAGAGTTGTGCTTACACATTTCAATCAACCATAATCTAAGTGAGCCAGTGGTTTATCATGTATGGATACACTGTCAGTTACATCTCTGGTCTCTTCGTGCAACACAGAATCTATATTTGAATATACAAATATTTCTTTTTACAAAACGATTATTAACATCAAGTTCTTTAACTCTGTTAGCTTGAACATTCTAGACCAGGGATGGGCAGTACTTGTAGTCCTGATACCGTCCACTAGACTCCTCGTTACGTCCCGAGCTGCGTACATGATTTCATTCGGCAGCCAAATACCGCAAAATAATCTGTGACACGTTTGTGTGTATTGTGTCACAAGAAACACCGGCTGTTGTTATGCCTGCTGTGACGTTAAGTTACCGCTTGTAATTATGCCGTTACAAGCGTCAAAGTTGTATTTATCATCTGAATTTGGCGAAACAAGTTTAATATTCTAAAAACCAAGACTTTGTTTATTTGAAATCAGATGAAAACAAACTGTCACGGACCCTGCCGTGTTATCTATGATTACTATACACTTTTCATTCATAATTTCAGCGGGAGGGAGGGGGAGCGGCGCTGAGGAACAGCAGGGTGCGGGTTGACAGGTGTCTGTGTTGACATTCCCCTTATTGTGCGTCAGCAGAGACAGGCTATAAGTGTCTTAGGTTCAAGTTAGACAACTAATGTCTGGGTTAGTGTTCATGACTTCATGTTCAGGTCATCTTAATGGTTCATCTTAGTTTCAAATAGTTTTATTCCACTGTTAAATAACCTGTTCAAAACAAACATGCCACTTGTAAAAATTAAATAACATTTCTGTGAACTGATATTGTTTTAGTGAGCTTATTACAGGATGTTCCCTGAAAGATTGTAAAAAGTCAATGAAGATGTCAGATTTAGTATATTTGTTAATAATTACATACAACACATGGAATTTGTGTGTGTGTGTGTTCCAAGTGAATCTGCGGCCCCCTGGTGGCCAGTACATAAATGATGTGGCCCCCACCACCATCAAAGTTGCCCATCCCTGTTCTAGAAACATACATTTCCCCTAGAATATTTACAAATGAGGTTTTAATGCAGACTACAATACTTATATATATATATATATATATATATATATATATAATACAAAACTACAACAACCACATATGACTCCTGATTATATACACATACAAACGTGTTTTGACTAAACCTTTGGTGGATATTCATGTGGGTTTCAGTATGACGACGATGTGAAACTAGGACAAGGACTTGTTCAAATCACTTTAACAGAGTCATATCAGGACTGCAGGACGGACTTAATCCCTAAATTGTTTTATAAATCGGGGGAAAAAGCAACAATTTGGACATTTATTGATGTGAAAATGTTGTGAATTATCACTGAGTTTTACACAACATTAAATATGAGTTTTTCTTCCTGGTCTCCTGTCTCTTCCTCCAGGTCAGCCTCCGCTCCTGGCCCCCTCTCAGTCTCCTCAGCCCTGCACCTCGGCCCCTGTCTCGGGCTCCGGGGCCCAGATAGTCACCGCCATCTACCCTCCTCCTTCCCCAAACGTCACCATGGCAACAGGGATGGTCTCCATGACAGCCGTGCCCTCCAGCATGGTCTACTCGGTCTCCAGTGCTTCCCCTCACATCCTGTCCAAACACACAGCATCCCCCGGCACTGTCACGCACACACACCAACATCCAGACAGACACCTGCCTGCAGACAGACCTGCAGACAGACCTGCAGACAGACAGGCAGACAGACAGGCAGACAGACAGGCAGACAGACAGGCAGACAGACAGGCAGACAGACAGGCAGACAGACAGGCAGACAGACAGGCAGACAGACAGGCAGACAGACAGGCTGACAGACAGGCTGACAGACACTCAGAGATGCTGATGCATTCAGACAGACATGCGGAGAGGCAGACCTCCAGCAGCTCAGCGGCCCCCCCCAGTGGCTCAGCTGTGAGATCCTGCAGTCCTCCTCTTCAGAGCCAAACACCGGGTACGACTGCACATGATGCTTCTTAAGTTAAAGTAGCAAGACGACATCGTAGAAATACTCTTTCACAAGTACAACAATCCTGGATTCAAAATGTTAGCTGTTTCAGAATCATATATAATACACATAATTGTAGTGGAGTAAAAAGTACAATATTGAAGTATAAAGTAGCTTAAAATGAAATGTTGCATGTAATGTTTCTACCAGAGGTGGAAGAACTAAGATCTTTGAAGTAAAATTAGCGAGACCAAATTGAATTGTTACAAGTAAAAGTTCGCAATCAATATCTTACTTAAGTAAAAGCACCAAAAGTACAAGTGCTTATTTAGCTAAATATCAGATTCATATATATTACATATTATGATGTTAATTATTATTATTGAATATCACAGCTAGTAAAGCTAATTTTGGATAATTTGTATTCTGCTGCTGGATGTTTTAACCTATAATGATATGTCATTATTAACGTATTAGTTGATTTGCATTGTCTTATAATCTGAATCTATAAAGTAACTAAAACGGTCAAATAAATGTAGTGGCGTAGAGTATTAAATGGCGTACTGTGAAAGTACCTCAAAATTGGACTTAAGTAAAGTATTTAAGTTAAGGTACTTCACTTTCCACCACTGTTTTTTTTTAATCTGATTTACATGTTAGTAATTGTTTGTGTTTTTACAGGCAGTGCACCGGGAACACCCAAACTAATACAGCTCTCTGTCAGGACCCCTCAGAAGGTGAAGGCGACGGTGGCGAACATCCCCGTGGGCAGCTACGAGGGAGGGGGCCGGGGGAAGGAGAGAGAGAGGGAGAAAGACAGGGAGAGGGGGAGAGAGAGGGAGCGGGAGAAAGAGAGGGAGAGAGAAGCTGCTGCTGCCGCCTCTAGTCGCTTCTCGTTTGACGCTGAGCTGCCGGGGCAGACGGCGTCTCCATCGACACATCCTGCGGAGGAGCCCCCCGCCTCAGAAAGACCCCAGGAGGGGGCTGCAGACCCCCCCGACACACGGCACAGAGAGAGCACAAACAAAGAGGTGAGAGAGCATCACACACTGGCTGTAGGCCCGGACATAATGAGGGGAAACTGTATTTATGTATGCACCATCATAGACCAAAGCAGATTCCTTGTATGTGTAATCCTACTAAATGTTTGATTTAGATTAATCTCATCTCCTCATCTCCTCTCCTCTCCTCTCGTCTCCTCTCATCTCATCTCATTTCCTCTCCCCTCATCTCCTCTCCTCTCCTCCTCATCTCCTCTCCTCTCCTCCTCTCTTATCCTATCTTATCTTCCCTGCAGGGTGGATGGAAGGAGTCTCTCCCCTCCTCACCTGCGCCTCCTCCCGCCTCTGAACCCCCTCCGCCCCCCCCACCCACTGAGAAAGAGAGTCCGACACCCAAGAAAGTCAAAATGCGCCCTCCACCCCTCAAGAAGACCTTTGACTCTGTGGACAAGTGAGTTACCACCTTTAAGAATCTCTCGTGTAGGTCTGCAGACGACTCGAGGCTTTGATGTCATGTGAGCATAGCTACAGTGTGACAATGAACATCTTAGGTCACAGTAAATCAAATAGAATATAATAGAAATAGTGCAGAATAGTCTATATATGTTGTGTAATAGAAGCTTCGGATGAGTCTTGTCCAAAGTGAACGTGTTTACTTTTGATTAATGTCACAGTTTCCAACAAGAACGGTAGAAGACGGGAAATGCACTCGACATACTCGTATTCATTTCCAAATCATGACTGGAAGGAGTAAGAGCAGGACACATACCTGCACTTCAAAATAAAAGCATTTCCTGTGAAACATTTTACCCTTAACTTCTGTCAGGAAGCAAATAAACAAATGTTTTCACTGCCTTCAATAAGAAGTTACAACAATATACTATGTCATTGGAATATTGATATATATAAGTTTCGACCAGATGCTATGGATGTTCTTTCAAAAGTTCAGGTGTTTAGCAGTCTTATGAGTGGGTGTCTGTGGACGGTGTGTATATACTGTGTGTGTGTGTGTGTGTGTGTTGGTCTGGCAGGGTGCTGTCGGAGGTTTACTTCGAGGAGCGCTTTGCGGAGCTGCCGGAGTTTCGTCCTGAGGAGGTGTTACCCTCCCCCACCCTGCAGAGCCTCGCCACCTCGCCCCGCGCCATCCTGGGCAGCTACCGGCGCAAGAGGAAGAACTCCACAGGTCTGTCATCTCACTCTGAAGACATTACACTTTGTTATACTGAACATTGGAGGATAGCTGCAGAGTAGGGTGGATTTTGTCAGCAATTTGTGTCTTAGTTAGTCTTGTTGTAGTCAAATGTCCAAGTTAGATTTGATCATACTGAGTGAAAGTCATTCTCTTTTTATAGTGAAGTTTATATTACATAATTGTCTGAGAATTTTTGTCATTTTTGTCTAAGTAATCAGATTTGAACATTTATGTCAATATAGTCTATATTCCGTACATAATGGCAGCCCACTGCTCCTAATCAAGCCCCCAAGAAGTGCGCCGGACTCTGAGGAAAATATTCGTTGTGGCCAAACGGCGGTACTACACTTCTGTATCAGTCGCTGGGCCCGGAAAGACTTTTTCCCATTGACTAACATCGGGAAAGAGACGTCTGTAAATCGTTGGATAATTTTTTTTAAACTAAATAAACTACCCAGTATGAACATTTGTATAGCTCTTATTAAAAACATTCGGTCCTCAAGTTGTAAAATGTGCTAATAACGTTATTCTGAGAGTTATTTGCCTCTGCATTATGAACGCGGATCTAACCCACGGGACTGCCGCCCGGCACGTTCATGTGACGTGTTCAGTACTACATGAGTTTTACCTTTACCCATGGATGCACAATAAGAACGGATTATATGATTATATGAATACTTTCGTGACGTTTCGCTCTCAAAAGTTGGGCCATTTTGTCTTCATGCGCCAATGAGCAGCTCTCATAGGAATGAACGAGACCCCACCTCCCACGCTGTATCCAGTTCTTATTATACATCCATGCTCCTAACACTAGGATTGGTCAAATGCAGGGAAGACGTTTCGTTAGTAGTACCTGTACTATGTAATGACAATACCATTTGAATCTAATCTAATCCAATTAGTATAGTCTAAAAACATTTTTATTTCTTCCAAGCTGTGTTGCCGCTGAGGTCCTGATTATGATATAGTTTCTATATTCAACCAGTGATAGTTATTCTGCTCTTTTCACTTAAAGGGGACCTATCATGCAAAATGCACTTTTTGATGTCTTTTATACATAACTAGGTGTCCCCGGTGTGTCGGGGAACTCACGCAGCGTCAGCAAATAAAACCCTCTCTCTTTTCCTCCGTACCCAAATCTCTAAAAACGGGGCTACAACGGAGCTGATCCAGATTTGCGTCCGATATGACGTAATATCTGAAATGTGGACCCACGGCACTATCAGAAACGTTGCTATCAGAAACAATGCCCGACTGTTTTGGACGTAATATGGTCGGTGTTTACATTAGCATCGCTAACACTCAGAGCTAACCTGTACTGGAGAGCATGTGTGTGAAGAAGCAGGAAATAAAAAGGAACTCACCTTGTGGTATAACCGCCAAGAGAGAAAGCCTTTGAGCTCCATACTGTTTCAGAAATAATCCTTGATAATCCATGATATGGCGTTTCATCACCGCAGTATTTAGTTTAGACAGTAGCTGCCGGTAGAATCTCCCGCATGAGCAGGCATAAGCTCCGCCCCTCTTTTTGATCAATTTTTTAAAAGCTTTATACCCAAAATCAGCACTTTTGAAACAGGAAGTGAAATAGAGGGATATGAGGCATGGCTAGAATGGGTGATCTGTTTGGTATTTTGAGCAAAACACTTCATAGACATGTTTATTTGCGATTCTATTATTTGACATTTTTTAAACCACGTATTGGTTATCTTTTTCTCTAGAGTCACAGTAACCCAGTGCCATGAAAATGGATAAAAAGATCAAATAACTTTAGTCGTAGTTTCCTATAAAGAAAGGAACATTGTTGCACCGACTGTCATACATGTGCAATCATTTGGAAAACAAATGTATGAATTGATAAGTTAGAACTACTAGTTTGAATTGACTTACACGATGCTCCTTACAGATTTATTTGTGATGAACCCTGATAAATACATCGATGTGATTTAAAGTGTGTTTCTTCTCTCTGCTTGTAGACCTGGACTCAGCCACTGATGAGCAAGTCTCTCCGAAGAGAAAGAGCCGGCGGCGCTCGAGCTGCAGCTCCGAGCCGAACACGCCCAAAAGCGCCGCCAAGTGTGAAGGAGACATCTTCACCTTCGACAGAGCAGGTGACGCACAGAGAAGAGTCCACATGTGCTTCATTTAGGGTCATTGTGTTCTGATATCCTCACTCTGAGTGCTGGATAGGTAGTGTATTGATAGATGGAAGTACATATATATGAATAGCTGTGTAGGTTGGGCGCCCTGTTTCTGTGTTTTCAATTGACTTTCTTTGTAATGTTTTATCTTTTTTGTTTGAATGATGTTTATGCTTATGACATAAACAAAGATGTTTATCATAGTAAATAGTTTCCTGTTGACTGAACCCCCCCACCCTGTCTGTCCCTCCCTCCCTCCCTCCCTCAGCCACAGACGGAGAAGACATCCTGACAGACATGGAGTTTGACAAGGTGCCGTACTCGTCCCTGAGGAGAACTCTGGACCAGAGGAGAGCGCTGGTGATGCAGCTGTTCCAGGAGCAGGGCTTCTTCCCATCAGGTGAGAGAGAGAGAGAGAGAGAGACACACACGCACACGCACACGCACGCGCACGCGCACGCACACGCACACACACACGCACACACACACACACACACACACACACACAACAAGCGGTATTTCTACTAGAACTAACATTTTCTTCGTCAATCAACCTGCTGATTCCGTTTTTGGCCAATTTTGTTTCTTTTCTCTTCTCACTATAATGGACAGCATGCACAAACACTTTTGTAATACACCATTTTTTCATTTATTTGTGTATAAATGTTATTATAACTTCTGCGGCATCGTCCTGCCTGCCTCACACCTTCTGACCAATCACAGTGCAGGAGGACAGGAGCCATTATTACTCTGAGCAGCATGCATGGGAATGATCTACAATATCAAATATTGATCACCTTTCTTGCTTTTTTCTTAGTTTTCCTATAAAGTTGCTAAAATTGTAGTTGTTTTGAAAAGTCACTACATCTACTGAGAAAGTCCCTAAGTTGTGAACAGTGTGTGTGTGTAACATTAGTCAGTAACTCTCCGTGTTTTTCTCTTATCTACAAGCATTTCCACAATGAGTTCAAACCATTTGAGTTTACACTTCATATAGCACTGTAATTTGGTTTTATGTATGTTTTGTGTGTGTGAGGACCCCAGGAAGAATAGCCAATGCTCATAGATGAGTAACACATGCGTCACTTCTGGGCAAAAAGTACGGCTCCGCCCACTTTTGGGGGAAAACAAAGCTGTCATTTGAATGGCGGTCAATACAAATTCTGAAGTTTTTGCCAATCCGATCAGAAATTTAAGAAAACCGTGGATTTGTGGATCTTCAAAGAGCCCGATTACGATGGCCAGACAGCCAAACAATTACATTAAATCATTTGAAATCGACGATCGGGCTCGATATGTGGTTAAATATAGCAGTAGGCGATCGATGTCCATAGATGAGTAACATCGTCACTTTACGGCCCCGCCCACTTTTGGGGGAAACCAGCGCTGTCATTTGAATGGCGATCGAGCCTGAAGCCACAGAGCTCTACTTTTACTGTCCTTTGTTCTTAGAGGAAGTACAGAAACACTGACCTCTGGATTTGTTTTAATGTTTGAGGATCAATAAACGACACAGCAGCTTGTTGGCATGATACAACTATTATTTTCCGCCTCGCTCATGAGAGTAACAGCTGGAGAAATGACAGCCTCGCCTGCTGATTTGAATTTAACCATATATCGAGACCGATCGTCGATTTCAAATGATTGAATGTAATTGTTTGCCTGTCTGGCCATCGTAACCGGGCTCTTTGAAGATCCACAAATCCACGGTTTTCTTAAATTTCTGATCGGATTGGCAAAAACTTCAGAATTTGTATTGACCGCCATTCAAATGACAGTGTTGTTTTCCCCCTAAAGTGGGCGGGCCGTAATTTTCGCCCAGGAGTGACGTAGGTGTTACTCTCATCTATGCTAGTGCTAATGTGGATCCTAATTAAGAATAAGTTCCCACTTGGAGACCCTGACTCACGTTGTTTTTCTTTTTGTTCTGGTGTTTCCAGCTCAGGCCACCGCAGCCTTCCAGACTCGATACTCGGACATTTTCCCCACCAAGGTGTGTCTGCAGCTGAAGATCCGGGAGGTGCGGCAGAAGATCATGCAGACGGCCGCGCCCTCCGACGTCTCCGCGTTAGGGATCCCCGACTCTCTGTGCTCCATGCCCGGCCCCTCGGGCTCCCAGGCAGGGGAGGGCTCTCTGCGGGGGGGCGGGGACCTGCAGGACGACGACATGGAGGGGGGGGCGGAGGGGAGCCCTGAGGACCCTCGGGATTCACACGACTTTTCAAGATGAGGGATTGCTGACAGATTAGACCAATCAGTGACCGCTGACGTCACACATTCCCCCCCCCCCACATGCTTTTTATAATTTTTTATTCTTTTAAATCCCACCCTCCTCTGGTCTGATCATTATTCCTTTCTCTGAGATGTTTGTATGCAATGTTCAGCCTTTTGTTTTTGGGTAATGTGTCCTATACCAAAAGAGGGAACTGGCACAAAAGCACGCACACACACACACACACGCACACACACACGCACACACACACGCACGCACGCACGCACGCACACACACACGCACACGCATCCTACAAACTCTTAATTCCCACACTTGACTCAGCACTCTGTATTAACCACCTTTTGAGAACGTTGCCAGTGAACGAAGGACCGTTGTGAGACCCTCTTACCCCCGCTCTGAAACGGTTAAAAGTCAGCAGTTTTAAAACACGGACATTATGTTTTGATATTTGTTTTTAAAAAAGAGCAGTGAGTATCTGCTTGAGGAACAACGTGTGTGTTAGATGAACTGTTAGCGTGTGTGTTTTGGTTCCTGCTGACATCAGGGGGCTGGGCCCTCAACAGCCGGAAACTATTTGATTGAGAAACATCACCGCGGACCTGGAGAGAGATCTCCTTTTTATTGCAGACCTTCAGGGGAGGTCGAACCGGAGGGACTGAAACAAATTGACTGAAACTCATGTGCCATCATTCCTGCAATTTCCTGTGTGTCCGAGTCCTCCCTTCTTGCGGCAGCACGTGGCACCGGGCGGAGCATCCTGTGCCTCTCTGAAGGAAGGAGGTGGGAGTCAACGGCACATCCTGGCTCTGAGTCCTAAAGGTCTGACACGGCCTTAATCCTCTATTGCCAAGCAGTTTTATTCACTTTTTTAAAATAATTTGTATTTAACATTGTCATATTCAGTTTGCTGTTGTACTATCCCTATGGTTATTATTATTATTATTACTCTTTATATCATTGCAGTGACCCGGTCCTTGGTTCTGACGTTTCCTTTATAAGATTTCTTGTATTTGTTTTTATAATTTTGGAGGCAGGTGAGAGAAGCTGCTGCACACTTCCTCCTCCGTAGTCTTCCCTTCGCCGGCCTCTCGCCTCAGCAACCAGTTTCTTTTTTAAATGTGCATTTCAAAGAGGAATAACGTTTTTTAAAAATTCTTTCAAACATAATAACGGTATGTTTTTAGCCTCTCTAAGTTTGATCTATAGCCTCAAGACTTGTACATCTCCTTCCTCCAGCCCTTTCCTTCCCTCCTTCCTCCTTTTGTCACTTTATTGCTCTCTCCAGACCTTTTTAAGACGGGCGGAGAGGAAACTGGAGGAAGAGAGGGAGGGTGATGAATCAAAGAGAGCGGTGGGATCTACTGGTTGTGTCTTTGTACAAGACTTGGTGTGTTGTAAATAATTACTGTAGAGTCAGTAGACTCGTTATATTATTGATAAGGAAAAATCTGTCATTGACTTTTAAGAAACGCATTACCCAAGGTGAAACACATGAAATGGAAAAAAAAACAAATAATAAATATGGCTATTAATGTTTTTGTGTTCTACTCGTTGTTTTGCAGTTCCAGTATACAGGAGAGGAATTTATATGAATAATTTAAGTTTGTATCTGTATCTTTCAGTATGCAAATAAAAATAGGTGTTCAATGAAAGTGTTTTATCGCTGGCAATGTGGAGAACGGGTTTTACTTTAGCAGAGATACAATCAGGGGTCGAGTATGTTCTCGACAAAGGCAACGTTTATTGTCCAGCATTTTTTTTTTTTAAAGGAATATATCACCGCAAAATCAAACACTTACATAATTCCTCTGATCTGTAGGGCTCTTTATCAATCAGTTATTCTGTGCTAGCGTTGGTGGGGAAAAGCTTAAAGGGGACCTATCATGCAAAATGCACTTTTTTTATGTCTTTTATACATAAATATGTGTCCCCGGTGTGTCGGGGAACTCACGCAGCGTCAGAAAATAAAACCCTCTCTCTTTTCCTCCGTACCCAAATCTCTAAAAACGGGGCTACAACGGAGCTGATCCAGATTTGCGTCCGATATGACGTAATATCTGAAATGTGGACCCACGGCCCTATCAGAAACGTTGCTATCAGAAACAATGCCCGACTGTTTTGGACGTAATATGGTCGGTGTTTACATTAGCATCGCTAACACTCAGAGCTAACCTGTACTGGAGACCATGTGTGTGAAGAAGCAGGAAATAAAAAGGAACTCACCTTGTGGTATAACCGCCAAGAGAGAAAGCCTTTGAGCTCCATACTGTTTCAGAAATAATCCTTGATAATCCATGATATGGCGTTTCATCACGGCAGTATTTAGTTTAGACAGTAGCTGCCGGGTCCCGCATGAGCTCAGACCCCTCCTTTTTTTGTAAAGCTTTATACCCAAAATCAGCAATTTTGAAACAGGAAGTGAAATAGAGGGATATGAGGCATGGCTAGAATGGGTGATCTGTTTGGTATTTTGAGCAAAACACTTAATAGACATGTTTTTTATATATTTTTATATATCTGAAAATAGCATGATAGGTGACCTTTAAGGTTTGTCAGATGGAGAAAAATCACACATCAAAATATTTCAAAATCAAATAATATGAATGGATATTGCAGCATTATTGAAGGGTTCACTATTCATGCTTTCACAACATTCACTTTTGATAAATAATTCTCAGTCATGTTAAAATAATGGCTCAGTAGGTTAAGGCAAATCGAACAGCTAGAACAGTCAGGTAGGATCAGAAAGCCCAACATTGTAATTTCATGAAGCCTTTTAAACCAAAAATAAACATAATATCAAAAATGTAAGCCGATACGTAGTCTTATAACCATTTCTTGCTATTATATGGATGTCTTCCCTGCCTTTTATCTAACATGTGTGCCTTTTCTCAAATATAAAGGAAGTAAAACACTCTTGGCGCTCACTGGCCAAGGAAAGAGAAATATTGACCCTGTTACTTAAGATAATCCACCGCTGTGTTGTGAGCAGTTTCATGTAGGTCTTTCTTTTGTGTGTTGTGATGGTTATAAACTAAAGGCATTAGGAAAACATGTATTTTTTAACTTTGTATTCTGTCCCTTTAACTGTAACAGGCTCATGAAGTGAAGCTCACATCATCTCTACTAGTTGACGTCATGGATGTATAATTAGAACTGGATACAGCGTGGGAGGCGGGGTCTCGTTCTTTCCTATGAGAGCTGCTCATTGGCGCATGAAGACAAAGTGGCCCAACCTTTGAGAGAGTGAAACGTCACGAAAGTATTCATATAATCATATAATCCGTTCTTATTGTGCATCCATGGGTAAAGGTTAAACTCAGGTAATACTGAACACGTCACATGAACGTGCCGGGCGGCAGTCCCGTGGGTTAGATGCACGTTCATAATGCAGAGGCAAATAACTCTCAGAATAACGTTATTAGCACATTTTACTACTTGAGGACCGGATGTTTTTAACAAGAGCTATACAAATGTTCATACTGGGTAGTTTATTTAGTTTAAAAAAAATTATCCAACGATTTACAGACGTCTCTTTCCCGATGTTAGTCAATGGGAAAAAGTCTTTCCGGGCCCAGCGACTGATACAGAAGTGTAGCACCGCCGTTTGGCCACAACGAATATTTTCCTCTGAGTCCGGCGCACTTCCTGGGGGCTTGAGAAGAACCCGTATGTGCATTCACAGAGCATGCGCCCCTTAAGCCCCGCCCCCCGAGCTCCCACTCTCGGCTCAGTAGAATGAATGGAGAAAATAAATATAGATTCGGCTTTTAGTGCATTTTACAACTTTAAGGACCGAATGATTCTAATAAGGGCTATAAAATAGTTCATACTGGGTAGTTTATTTAGTTAAAAAAAATGTATCCACCGATTTACAGACGTCTCTTTCCCAATGTTAGTCAATGGGAAAAAGTTGTTTTGGGCCGGGTGACGTCACGGACTGATACGGAAATTGCAGTACCGCCGTTTGGACACTACGAATATTGGGCACAGAGTCCGGCGCACTTCCTGGGGGCTTGGTTAACGTTAGATATGTCAACTTTAAAACATGGCTGTGTTGAATGAGCTCCAGGGTTTCAAATCATCATGAAAAAACATTTATTGATTTCACTTATATACACAACAGCACGTCAAACCTTTTAACAGAAGAAAAATCACATCCCGTTTCATACATTAATGATAAAAATGAATCATACAAATTTCATGAGGCACAAACATTGGTGCTATTCATAACGATTGCCATATCTTTAATTTCCATAACATCAAGACTGATCCCTCACATAGTCTTATAAAAAGTGGAAGATTAATTACTTTGGTCTGTTTGCTTAACTTAACTTAACATCAATTCTGACATGTTATAGCTTATCCTGCAGTACTCAATCATGTGGTTCCAGTGAGTCTGAAGTGGAAGCTGAACCCCTCACTTAGTCTTCGTTAGAGTCAGACTTCAGACTGAACTCAGTGAGCAAAGTGTGTCTTTGTCCTCAGAGGAGCTGCAGTGCGTCCACAGAGACCGTGTCCATGGCCAGGCCGTTCTCCAGAGCGCTGTGATAGATCTCCAGCGCCTGCTCCAGTGGCAGCGGCCCCCCCTCGCTCGTCTCGATGATGGCGATGGTCTCCCCGAACTCGTTACACATGATGGTCGGAGTGCCCTGCGTCTGAGAGGAGGAAGCAGAAGCAGAAGCAGAATCAGTTCAACTGACAGCAGCAGGGTTCATACACTTTTTCCACCACTGACTTCTCCATGACCTTTACCTAATTTTCCATGACCAAAAAAATTACTCTTTCTCACTACGACTGAAAATGGTTTATTTGAACATGGAACTGGAAAATAAGGTCTGAAACATGTTGTGCCTATCTAAAACAAATCAAATAGTAGGCATACTAGCTTCTACAGGCTAAAGCAACTAAAATCTCTCACCAGCAAAATACCTCGTCAGTTAAATGCCATTTTACGTTTCCTTACTATACGATACAGTATTTATTATCATTATAGTATTACTATTTCGTCGATTAGATCAAATATAAATTATATTTCATGCAACTTTAGTTACATTTCCATGACCTTTCCAGGTTTTTAATGACCGTAAAAACCCTGCAGCAGGAAGTTTTATTGATTGATTTGTTTATTCCACACATGGCAGTTATTTTAAAACAAAACATGTACACTTATCCTAGTTGTTTTTTTAAAGCGCATGGTGGAAAGGAGCAGGGAGAAGAACATTTATTTTACCTGCCCCTTCTTACAAACAAATAAAATAAAGCAATATTCTTTCACTCTCAGTTGCTTACAAATACTGGAACATAAAACCAGAACACATGTTCTTACAGCCCTTTAAATCATTCGGCAAAGAATTCCACTTCTTCACGCCAAGAGACACTCATCTGCTTTAAAGTAGTGCGTGCAAACTGATGCTTAACATTTCATTTCCTCCTATGATCCTCTGAAATTAAAACAAATTAGTTTTGTATATTTTCTGGCAGTATTCTGTTTTTTGCTCTATGCATAACTAAAGCCGTCTGTAAGTCAAGTATGCAGATATTTAAAGGTGCTGATTCAGTTTCATCCTGTTACTCATTTTAAATGTTACATTTTGCTCACCCACAAAATAGGGAAATTGTATATTCATTACTCTGTGTTATCTTTAAACAAAGAATACAAAAAAGAGAACAAGTCTTTATGAATGGGGGCTTGTTTAACAACAGCAACACTTCATCAATACACCTGTTTACTAACTCACAACTCGTGCAGTATAATCCGAGCTCTTTTGGGAAGAAGTGAGCATGTGACTGGATAAATGAGGATAACGTTTTGAATGTACTGAACGAGTTTGAATAACAGGAGCTTTAAAATAGCCGGTTTTAGAATTCTCCTTTCACCTTGGAGGCCTGCTAGAAAGGTTTCTCAGCAATACAAAGTGAAAACATACAAACATGCCCTGTTGTTAAACTCAGTTTGCTGCTCTGTGATGCTAGTTCAAGCCAGATACTTGGCATCTCATCTTGGGTGCAAGTTCATCAATGTTTGGGGTCAGGCTCTGAGCTGAGGAGACCCTCAGGATTGAGTGAAGGTGTGCGTGCAATATACCGGCGTGCCAGATCTAATAGTAATTTAAAATTATCCTGCGGGCCGAAATGAAATCCACCCCGGGCCTCGAGTTTGACACATGTGCTTTAATAGAACTAAACTTGGCCCATATGGTAGCTAATGACGTGCTTTTCTGATGAAAGTTTTATGTTTTTGTCAGAGATTTGAGAGTAGGATGTTCAAGAAGAAGTGAGCGTATGACTGGATAAATGAGGATAACATTTGAATGTACTGATCGAGTTTAAAAGACAGGAGCTTTAAAATAGCCAGTTTTGGTATTCTTCTTAAACCTCTGAGGCCTTTTTCCAGAAACCTATACAAATAGTAATTTTGTGGGATAGCTACTCCTTTAATGGTTAACCAGATAAAACTAAATGGCTTTTTTTCCAGAGATTTAAGAGTAGGATGTTCATTCTGACCTGCTGCAGATCTGAGGTCTGTATCTGGATGATCTGCGGCTGCCCGTTAGCCAGCTCCACCGTCGCCGGGTCGACCACGGCCACAGCAGAGCTGGTCTCCATGGTGACGGCCGCTTCGTCCAGCCTCTGCTGCCGGGCGTGCGTC